GTTCTTTTTAATCCCAATGAAATAAGTGTCAGATCGGCCTGGTAATGCTCCACAGGTTTTCCTTTCAGCAACCGATCTTGTCGCCTTACCAGTTTCTGTAGGGTCTGGAGCGAGCTGGAATAAAGCGGTGGAGGGGTGGGGTGCTACTTGGATGCAGAGCAGGAAATACAGAGTGGAGGGCAGGTGAAGGAGTGTGTGTGTGTGTGTGTGTGTGTGTGTGTGTGTGTGTGTGTGTGTGTGTGTGTGTGTGTGTGTGTGTGTGTGTGTGTGTGTGTGTGTGTGTGTGTGTAGCCCCACCACAACGCAGCTAAAATACACAGGGAGAGCGCTCAGGCAGTGTATGCGTTCCCAATATTACAATATTTTGAGCTGTTGAACTGTGTGGACTTACAGCAGAATGTATTTTTCTGCAAATGTCTACCTGTAATTCCGCATCTTTTTGCCACAGTGTGTGTGTGTTTGCACGTGCATGTGTGTGTGCATGTATCTGGGTGCATTAGAGTGCATGTGCATATATGACATGCATGATGGATGATGCAGGTGCGTGCAGGTGTTTTATTGTGGGTTGCAGGTTAGCTCTGCTGCTCGTGTCATCAAGCCCGTGCCCCTCTGCTATTGCTGTAGCTTCTTGCTGTGCCCTGTGCCGACCTGCTCCTGGGCGTGCGTTGCTGCATAAATACGTACAGTGCTGTGTGTGTGGCTGTGAGCGGGTCACTGTTACCGTGTCTGCAAGCGCATGGCTGGGCACCGTGGAGGCCATGCATGTGTGTCACTGCGCGTGTGTGTCCATGTGTTGCTTTGTGTGCAAGGGCGCTGCTGTGTGAGCACTGCAGGGTTGTGGGGTTTGCCCTGTGCGTGCAGGCGTGCGGTGTGTGCACGGGCTGAGCGAGGTTTTGTGTTCCGCGTGTGTGTGAGTGTGTGTGCCCTGTGTGCGAGGGAGTCATGCATTTATTTTTATCCAGCCCTAGAAGGCGGGCCGGGATTGGTGGGTTCCTCGGTTATATCACTAAATCCCTTCTAGGCCCTGTTAGTTCCACTGCAGTGAGCTTGAGAATGCAGCCTCTTGCCATGAGCTCCGGTAACCATTTCAGGGCTGCAGTGAGCAAAGAGCCCCAGCTCCTGCTCTGCCATCGCCCTTCACCTGTCTGGTGCCCGGCCCCTGGGGTTCATAGACACAGCCAGCTCCTTCCAGCCTCTCAGCCAGGCTGCTGGTACCTTGGCCCCCCGTGCGCAGCGTTATTCACATCCAGGTGCTCCGGGTCCGGCGCGCTCAACGTGGGGCACTTGGATGCTCAAGGCTCCAGGCACAGTTCCAGTTCCCTGCTACCTGTGAAACTCTAAGTGATCTGGCCCAGTGATTCTTAAAGGGCCCCCACCTCTGCCAAGCATTTGGGCCAACGCCCCTCTGGTTTCATTGCAAGGGGCCAGAGGAGAGGAGATATCTGAATTTCCCGGACCCCAGGTTGAGTGGCAAGCTTGGCCCTTCTGGTATCACCCCCGCCCCATTGCTTTTCTTGAGGAGGGGGGAGTATCTGGAGGTGGGGAAGGGAGCTTTGGTCCAGGGGCCAGGAGGCCACTGGGGAAAATTTGCTCTTGCTTCACACCGTGGCTTTACCTTTTTTATACTCCTCGTTCAAGAGGAACAGCAGGCCCGGACACACTAGAGCAGGGGCAGGCAAAATGTGGCCCGGGGGCCAGATGCGGCCGGCCAGGCCATTTTCTCCGGCCCATGAGACCCCTAAAAAATTTTGAAAATTAATATTTATCTGCCCCTGGCTGCCTATCATGCGGCCCTCAATGGCTTGCCAAAACTCAGTAAACGGCCCTCCGCCCAAAATAATTGCCCGCCCCTGCACTAGAGGCAGCAGCAGTGCTCTTCCATGGCTCTCAGCACACTTCACAGCAGAGGCTCAGCATCGCTGCCCTGACTTTACCAGTTCTGGATGGGGAGTGACTTGCCTGAGGTCCCCCGCAAGCAGGCAGCGGTGCTGGGTTTTGGGCTGCCAGTCTCACCACTAGGCCTCATCCCCACCCTGGCCCACGGACAGAGCCCCCCGCACAATCCCAGCCCCTTTTGCACTGGGCTCTGCTGCTTCCCTGCCCACCCTCTGTAGAGTCCCTGCAATGCTCACGTGATGTGCGCTCCTGGGGATCTGGTTACCGGCGCTGATGATTTCCAGCCTGCAAGTGGGTTCACGGCAGGCATTCCCATGCCAAAGCACCTGACTAGGCAGAAGTTGCATCTCTAGCTATTAGGAATTAACTCCTCCAAAGCAGGAATCGTGTCACTTTGCTGGCCCCAGTGCTAGTAGTGGGAGCTGTGGGTTGCCATCACCTGGGGGAGATATTTGATCACCTAACTGGGGAGATCAACACATAAAAAACACATGCGTATGTGATGCGGCACTCAGAGAGCACGGCCTCCGGGAGGGCAGGTGCATCTTGGCTGGTGAAGGGAGCAAGGAACATGGGCTCTGTGGTTCAGCGCGCGAAGGGAGAAAATGCTGCAGCAAACGTTGCACCAGATACATCCACGCAGGTCCCCAGCGCTCTGGCCCCTTGCCTTGGCCCGATTTAACATGAGGAGCCATTTGGAAATCAGGAGCTGATGTCAGGCATTAAGCTCAGCTGGCTCAGCTTGGGGGTTGGGCTCAGCCCCAGCCTGGCGCTGTAGCTGAAGGGTTCAGAAGCTGTGATGAAAAAGGCTCCTAAGAGACAGTCAGAGATGGGAGAGCCTGGAAGGGCATGAGCAGCACTATGGGCCTTGCCTCCTCCTTCCCTTCGGACCTGTGCTGGCCCTTTGGCCTCAGCCGCAGGGTGCAAACGGGGAACGCTTCTCCCCAGCACAGCTCACAGCAACGCCAGGCATTTTGCAGCAGGGCTGGGGCAGGAATGGCACCTACAGGGGACCACAGGGCCTCTACTGCCACCGCGTCTGCTTGGAAGGTGACTTGGGCTGGGCACCACCTGCCCGGCTGTGCCCATACCCAGGTGCCATTCCACCGGCAGCTGTACCTCCCTTGGCAGGGAGGCGGAGGGTTAAGTCGCTCAGCAGGCTCACGTGACTCTCGGGGGATGCCGTTTTTCTAAAGATCAGGACGGATTAGGTTGGAAGAGCAGCGAGAAATTCCTTTGGCTCCATTCCCTGCCAGCAAGAGCTGCTGGCGGGCCCCCGCGAGCCTGTGCTGCACCCCTCGGCCCCCGGGAGACCGTGGCAGGGATGGGTGCGAAGGCATTGGGGTAAGAGCTGTTCTGCCTTGCAGGGTTCTTACCTCCGCATCGCCAGGCTGGTCCCAGCCCGTCCGGGATCCTGGACGACCATGCTGTGATCTTGCCTGCTGAGGCCGAGCTCCGCAACCTGGCAGAGCCTGGGGATCCAGGGGGCACTGAGTGATCCCAGGTGCCCAGGATCCGCGTGTGCGTTTATGGCAGGGGGGGCCATGGATGGAGGAAACACACATAACCTAGCGCTGTTGGGATTGAAGCGGGGTGGGATGTGGGGATTAGGGGATTGTCCCTCCTGAGACATGGAGGAGCCTATCTGCACTTCCAAACACCCCCGTGCCGGGTGCTAATCCCTTTCCGTCTTCAATGCCGCCAGGATTTAAGTGGAGAAGGAAGGGTGGCCTGCAATGAGTGGGGGCAGTGGGCTGTTCCCATGGCTGGGGGTCAAGAGCCAAGCATTGATCGTGCCTGTTCCCTGCAGGCCTCCTCCGCTCCCACCGTGCTCAGGGGAGCGCCAGGGCAGCAGCCTCCTGTTTCCCAGTAGGCTTAATTTCACAACACGGCTGAGCAGCTCATGTGATCGAGGGCTGTGACAGCAGTGAGGCTGCAGCCTGCCCGTGTCTCGCTCCTGCCACATGACAGGCTTGGATGCGACAGAGCAGGAGGGGCAGCTGAACCCCTGCATGGCTCCTGCCACAGGGGTTCAGCCGGGCTGAGCTGGTCCCTGGACCCTGGTGCTGGAGCAGTGATGGAGAAGCCAAGGGGCAGGGGGAGGTGCAGATGGATCGCTTCCCCTTCCCAGCCAGGAGCTCCTAGATTCAGCACAGGGTGATGATGCAGCTAGTGCTGCACATCAGAGGGGCAACATGGGACTTGCCCCTGTGTGACTCGCTTCTTATGGCTTATTTCAGTCCAGCGAGGAGAAGGTTAATCGGTTTGCAGCCTCTGCATAGGGGCTAAGCTGCAATCTCTGCCTGCTTCTGGCTTGCAGAGGCCTCCAAAGCTGCAGAATAGCTCACATCATTGCAGCTAGTGCCCTAGCCTGCACCTGCTGGCTGGGTCGCCCTTGGGTGGGCCAGAGGCTGAAGAAAGCGCCGTGCAAAGGGCTTTGGTGATCTCCTTGGGAGAAAGTGCTGGCCCCCGTCCTGAGCTGGCCGCTGGGCAGAGGTCTGTTGTTTCACGCCTCAGCTTTCATAAAAGCCAAGCAGTTGCGATGGAGGGAATCCAACAAGGGTGATGAGCTTCTCCGGTACATGCTGCTGGGCTCTGGCTGGCCAGCCCTGCAAAAAGCAGGGCGGGGGGCATTGAAGAAGAGAAGCAGAGGATCACAAATTTGGCCTGCTGGAGGTCACCATTGGCCTGGGCATATTCGCTTGGTCAAAAACACCCTCCGTGGTTTCAGCTGCACCCAATGCTTTCCCCTTCCCAGCCTGACAAATAAAACCTTTTTGATGCAGCGCTGGGGATATTGCTCAGTGTGGCAGGATCAGGGGTCTCTGCTGTGAAAGGACCAGCAGACAGGCAGGAGCAGAGCCCAGGGCAGCCAGGCGCCCGCAGAGCGGAGGCGGAGGGGGACACTGAGTCCTGGCATGGAGGCGGCTCTGGAGCTCAAATGCCTGAGCAGGGCGGGGAGAGCGGAGCGCAGAGTGGGGGCAAGGGAGAAGGTCACTGAGCTGGGGGCAGCGCAGCCGGGGAGCCCTACATCTGCTTTGCCACGGGCCAGGCCAGGCTATGGAAGCTCCCCCACCCTGACCCCCTTTCCTTGCTCCACGCAGTGCATGAGGTCTGGTGCTTCCCCGAGCGGCTGAGCGGCAGCACTAATCCCCGAGTGAGCAGCAGCAGCCATGTCGGGCTCCTACGATGAATCTGCAGCTGCGGCAGAGGAAATCACTGACAGCTTCTGGGAGGTGAGCGCCCAGGGCTCACCGGGCAGGACGAACCCTGCCCCGGTGCCTGTCCCTTGGGCAGACCGCTCTGGGGCCTGCAGTGGGAAGCCCCTGGATGGGCTCTGCTGATGAAACAGCCAGGCACCCCACAGCTCTCAGGGCGAGGAGAGGGCATGGAAGAACCAGATAGAGCCATCTCTGCTCTCTGGGGATCCTCTGCCCCCTTTTCTGGGCCAGCTCTTGCCCCTCAAGGCTGTCCCGTCCCACCCCCCACATTGCTGCCTCAGCAGCTGATGGATGCAGAGGATGCCGAACAAGTCCGAATTTGAGATTCCTGGTCCCTGCTTGGACCACTCAGACCCAATCTGAGCCCCCCATGGCCTCCCCTCTCCAGACTGGGCGGGGGCACTGGCTAGAGCCAGCGGCTGCCCCCAGACAGCTCTGCCTGCCCCCGGCAGGTGGGGAACTACAAGCGGACGGTGAAGCGGATTGACGACGGGCACCGGCTGTGCAACGACCTGATGAACTGCATCCACGAGCGGGCCAAAATCGAGAAGGCCTACGGCCAGCAGCTGATTGACTGGTCCAAGCGGTGGAGGCAGCTTATAGAGAAAGGTACCGTGGCCCGGCCGCCTGCCCCAGCCCACTGCAGCAGGGCAGGGGTGGGGGGAGCAGGGTCCAGAGAAGTGGGATGAGCTGGGTGCAACCCTGCCCTCTCCTGGGTGGAATCAGAACTGCTCCACCATGTGTCATAGGCTCTGCACCGCCAGTGCAGACTCTCCTTTAGCTCATGTGGCAGGAGGCTGGGGTTTTGAAGCCGCCGATGCTGTGATGTCCCATAGCAGGCAGCGGGGGAACAACCGCAGGCTCCATCCATGGCCCAGTTATAACCCAGCTGAGAAGGCCATTTGGAGTCCACGTGCCACTAGTCTCACCACCCAGTGACAGAAATGGGCCCAACTGGGGCATTTTGGCCTTGTGCAGGGGAGGGAGAATGGCCCAAGGAGTAGAACAAGGTCCTGGACCCAGGACATCTGGGCTCCATTCCTACCAAAGCCACTGGCCAGCTGCATTTCCTCAGCCGCCTTCCACTGCATGCCTTGGTTTTTCTACCTGGAAAATAGGGGTAAAGGTACTTCCTTCGTCATGGACACCGGCTGGGATGCCTGGGTGCCAGTGACCGGAGAAGGGCAGGGTGTCGCCATGATCACCAGGGCTCACCCCGGTCCTGCCTGTGCTCCACCTTGCAGGCCCACAGTACGGCAGCCTGGAGAAGGCGTGGGGAGCCATCATGACGGAGGCAGACAAGGTGAGTGAGCTGCACCAGGATGTGAAGAACAGCCTGCTGAATGACGACTTTGAGAAGGTGAAGAACTGGCAGAAGGACGCCTACCACAAGCAGATCATGGGGGGCTTCAAGGAAGCCAAGGAGGCGGAGGACGGCTTCCGGAAAGCACAGAAACCCTGGGCCAAGAAACTCAAGGAGGTAGGAGGTGCAGGGCGCCTGCCCAAGAGAGACCCGGGCTGGAGACCCTGGGAGTTTAGAAAGGAGGGAGTCACCCCATGGGGCAATGGGAGGGAGGCAATGGGGTAATAGGGGCTGAGCACGCATGGAGCCCACGGCAGAGACTTGCCTCACCGAGCCAGAAGGGCCATTCGAGGTCTCCGTAACCACAGAGGAGTCCCAGCCCAGAGTGGAGGGCGCTGGCACCTGGTCCGCTATGGGAACAGTGAGAAGAGACAGTCGTGCCACGGTCTCTGGCAGGAGTGAAGCCTAGCTGTAGAGCAGCCATTCTGGGGGGAAGGGGACATCCTGCAAACATCTGCCTTGACCCCCTTCCCCCTCCCCCCAAAAACAGCTGGAAACTGCCAAGAAAGCCTATCACCTGGCATGCAAAGAGGAGAAGCTGGCAATGACCCGGGAAGCCAACAGCAAGGCGGAGCAGTCCATCACTCCGGACCAGCAGAAAAAGCTCCAGGACAAGGTGGAGAAATGCAAGCAGGATGTACAGAAGGTATGAGCTATGGCCAGTGAGGGGGGGATCCCATGTGCGCGCACACACACACACACCCCCCTCCAGCACAGTGATGGGTTGCACTAACAGAGCCCAGGGGCTTCAACACTTCCACCTCCAGCCTGGCCCCTGCCCCTCACAGCCAGGAAAGGCAGAGAGCCTACATGGAGCCTGCTTCATCCCTGGCTTGCTCAGGACAGTGCCTCAGCTTGGCCTCCTTCGTTCCTGAGGGAGCTGAGATCGTGCTGTCCCCCATCAGGCCTCATGCCAGCCCTGCCCAGCTGCAGCTTGGCCCCATCTGGAAGGAGTGGAGCAAGGGGCAGAGAGAGCAAAGGTTCAGCAAAGATCTGCCTGGCAGGTCCCTCCGGCTCCTGCACTTAGAGGTCCGACCAGGTTGTCACAGGATGGCCTGGGATACTGACCTCAGCCTCCTGTCCCCTCCACAGGCCCAAGAGAAGTACGAGAAGGTGCTGGACGAGCTGAACAAGTGCACCCCGCAGTACATCGAGAACATGGAGCAGGTCTTTGAGCAGTGCCAGCAGTTTGAGGAGAAGAGGCTCAACTTCCTGAAGGAGGTGCTGCTGGACATCAAGCGGCACCTGAACCTGGCCGAGAACAACAGGTAAACCCTGCCCCTTGCTCCTGCCCCTGCCCCAGCAGAGACAGGAGGACAAGAGGGTCCCCGTCGGCTCAGCAGGCAGCACCGCCTCCCTAGCTCTGGGTAAGGGGCTGCTCTCTGCTCCGGGCAGCCAAGGAAATGAGCCTGGTCCTGAGCAGGTGGGATCCATGCAGGTACCCCTGGGGGCTCCCATCCCCATCCAAAGGTGGGCAGAGGTCAAAGCTGGGCTATTAGAGCGAGTTTGGTGCGGGGGGATCACTCCCGTGGCAGTGCCCACTGGATTTGTATGGGGGCCTGGCACCCTCCTGTGGCCAGTAGCTGCAATTGCATTGTGGAGCAGAGCCCCTTTGGAATTGCCCACCTTTGGGTTGTGGGGCCGACCTGCCCCCTGCTTCCAACCCCCAGAGCCCCTTTCCCTTGCCTTGCTAATCAGCTGCCTGCCTAGCAAGCAGGACTTCCCCTCCCCGTGGCTCCCACCCCTCAGCCATGGACCTACAAGGCTATACTGAGTGCAAGGCGGGCAGGGACGGGGCACTGGGGTCCTCACCTCCGTGTCTCCTGTGCCCTGGCACAGCTACGCGAACGTGTACCGGGAGCTGGAGCAGACCATCCGCGGCTCGGATGCCCAGGAGGATCTCCGGTGGTTCCGCAGCAGCAGCGGCCCCGGGATGCCCATGAACTGGCCGCAGTTCGAGGTGAGGATCCTTGCTGCTTCATCGGCAGGGGGCTGCTATAGATGGGAAGAGGCGGGGGTAGCCAGCTGGGTTTGGGGTGGGGTCTTGCGGGGGATAGTTGGGGGGTCATGGCCCCCCCAGGAGCTCAGGGGTGCGGTGCTTTGTCGCTCCAGGAGTGGAACCCAGACCTGACACACACGATAACGAGGAAAGAGAAGCCCAAGAAGCCTGAGGGGGTGACCCTGACTAACATCACGGGGCCGGGCGAGCCAGCAGCACAGTCTGGGGACCGCGGCAGGTGCGTGAGCCAGGGGCTGCAGGGAGGGAGGGGTGGATGCCATGGCTGCAGACACCCAGCAGAGAGGGGCTGTGATGTGCCTCTGCTGTTCCTGGACAGACGCAGACAGCCCTGGCCTGTGCCAGCACAGATAGTCTTCCTGTGGGTGATGCCACAGCAGAGAGAGCGGGCAGTTGTCTGGGCGTTGGGGGCTCACAGGACCTGCACCGTGATGTAGCAGAGACCATGCAAATGTATGGGAGGCTTGTGGGAGAGAGAAGAAGGGATGGGGCCACATCTTGGTGCTGGAGATTAGTGGGAGCTGCCCTGGGATATGGGAGAGGGGAGCAGGCAGCTCTATGCTGCAGGTTCAGGCCTGTGCTGAGATGCACTGGAGGGGATGGGATCACACCTTGGAGCCAGGGTCCCCAAGGCCATCAGGGATACAGCAGAGGGCACGTGTTGAATCTGTGTCAGCACCCACGGTATGAGGTAGCAAAGGGGATGCCACTGAGTTTTTGCATGGGAAAGCTCTGTGTCCCAGCAGAGGGGAGGCAGTTGTGTCTGGGCCCTGGAGGTTGCAGACTCTTGCAGTGGGGTATGGCAGAGGACATGCGACCGAGGGACAGGGCAGAAGTCTCAGCTTCTGGCTGTGGCGCAGCTCCTCACGGGCTGCAGCCTGACCTCGCCTCGCTGGGGCCTTTGCGGAGCAGTCCGGTGCTTCCCCAACCACCCTCGGCCTGTCTTCACAACCCGCCTTGCTCTCTGCATCCCCAGCGTGAGCAGCTACGACCGCAGCCAGCCCTACTCGTCTGAGTGGTCAGATGATGAAGGCAGCAACCCCTTCAGTGCCAACGAGGCCAATGGCGGTGCCAACCCCTTCGAAGACGAGACGGCCGGGAAGGGGGTGCGTGTGCGGGCCCTGTATGACTACGACGGGCAGGAGCAGGATGAGCTGAGCTTCAAAGCAGGTAAGACACAGAGCACACCTGGCCCAGCAGGAGCCAACCTCTCCAGAGGCTTTCTGGCCAAAGACCTCCCTAGATGCCTGCAGTCTTTTTGGCTTGAGCCGTTTCTGTATTTTCCAACCCCAAAACATTTTCAAGTGGAACTTATGGAAAAATGGAGGGACAGGGAGGGAGAAGACTTGGCCAGCTTGGCTCCAACATTCAAAGAGCCCCTGATGCCTGGTCTGCAACTACTGGCAGAAGGATGGGACCCTTCCAGGCTAAGCCGTGGTGGCACTGAGTGAAAATTAATACTTACCACCTGTATGCCACTCTTT